CATAAACTGTAAGTACGACTGGACACACTAACTGTAAGTAACACATGAATTGTAACTACGACTGGACACACTAAATATAAGTAACAAACGAACTTTAAGTAACACATAAACTGTAAGTACGACTGGACACACTAACTGTAAGTAACACATGAATTGTAAGTACGACTGGACACACTGACTGTAAGTAACACACTAACTGTAAGTAACATACTAACTGTAAGTAACACATGTACTGTAAGTAACACTCTAACTGTAAGTAACACATGTACTGTAAGTACGACGGGGTACACTAACTGTAAGTAACACACGAACTGTAAGTACGACGGGGTACACTAACTGTAAGTTACACACAAACTGTAAGTAACACATGAACTGTAAGTACGAAAGGATACACTATCTGTACGTACGAATGGACACACTATCTGTAAGTACGAATGGACACACTAACTGTAAGTAACACACGAACTGTAAGTACGAATGGACACACTATCTGTAAGTACGAATGGACTGACTATCTGTTAGTTCGAATTGACACACTATCTGTAAGAACGAATGAACTCACTAACTGTAAGTAACACACGAACTGTAAGTACGAATGGACACACTATCTGTAAGTACGAATGGACTAACTATCTGTAAGTTCGAATTGACACACTATCTGTAAGAACGAATGAACACACTAACTGTAAGTAACACACGAACTGTAAGTACGAATGGATACACTATCTGTAAGTACGACGGGGTACACTAACTGTAAGTAACACAATTACAGTGAGTAACACACAAACCGTAAGTAATACATGAACTGTAAGTACGACTGGACACACTAACTGTAAATAAGAAAGTAACTGTAAGAAACAAACGAAATGTACGTAACACTTCAAACACGAACCTTCAGTAACACTTTAACAGTAACACTGCACAGCGAACTTTTGATTACACTGTAAACACATATATTAAGTAACAGTATAACTTGAAATATATGTTTACAATGTTGTTTTAGTTGCACTGTAAACACATGATTTATGTAACTCTGTAAACAGAAATAGTTACGCTGTAAACACAAACTTAGGTAACACTGTAAACACATACTTTAAGAACCACTGCAAACACAAACTTAAAGTTAGTAAAACTGTAAACACACAAACTTTAAGTAACACTTTAAACACAAACTAGTTGTTACACTACGGGGAGTGTTCTTTTTTTAGTAACATTGGAAATGCACATTTTAAGTAACACTGTAATCACAAACTTTTTATTATACTGCGAACACATACTTTCAATAGACTGTAAACACATACTTAAAGTAACAGTGTAACTTAACGTATTTGTAAAAAGTGTTGTTTTAGTTACACTGTAACCACAAACTGTATTCAACAATGTAAAAAAAAAACTGTAAATACATACTTAAGTAACATTGTAAACATATACTTTAAGTTACACTGTAAACACAAACTTTAAGTAACACTGTGAACACAAACTTTAGGTTACACCGTTACATGTAACACAAAATTTAAGTAACACTGTAAAAACAAAAATTAAGTAACACTGTTAACGCAAACTGTATGCATGATTATGAACACATACTTTAAGTAACACTGTAAACACAAGCTTTATGTAACACTATAAACACAAACTTTAAGTAACACAGTTTACACAAACTTAAAGTAACACTGTAAACACAAACTTTAAGTAACACCGTTAACACAAAATTTAAGTAACACTGTAAACACAAACTTTTAGTAACACCGTTAACACAAAATTTAAGTAACACTGTAAACACAAACTTTTAGTAACACTGTAAACACATACTTTAAGTTACATTGTTGCCACAAACTTTGTGTTACACAGTTTACACAAACTTTAAGTAACACTATTAACACAAAATTTAAGTAACACTGTTAACACAAACTGTATGTATGATTATAAACACATACTTTAAGTAACACTGTAAACATAAGCTTTAAGTAACACTGTAAACACAAACTTTAAGTAACACAGTTTACACAAACTTAAAGTAACACTGTAAACACAAACTTTGTGTTACACAGTTTACACAAATTTTTAGTAACACTGTAAACACATACTATAAGTAACACTGTAAACACATACTTTAAGTTACATTGTTACTACAAACTTTTTAGTAACAATGTTAACACATACCTAAGTAACACTGTAAAAACATACTTAAGTAACACTGTAAAAACATACTTAAGTACAACTGTAAAAACATATTTGTGTGACACTTCATAAACAATCTGTTTGTTATACAAAATGGTCGTTATACTGCACAAAAGCTCTTTGAGTCCACGATGCACCAGATATAGATACAAATTTAATTGATTGCGTCGAAGGCTGTAGCCTCATTGTTGGGAACTGTCGCCGCATTAATGGTCGTTGCATTATATATAGCAAACCGGTGATTTGTTGACGATCTGGTTATCAAGGATTTCGTCATTTCAGAGATAAACATCTAGGGAAAGGACATCAACATTGACTAACTGTCTAAACCAGAACCCTGGCAAGTAAGTACATTATTTTTCTGTGCGAGAAATAATTATACGATTTCTTTTTTTTCATTTTGGCACTTATTGCTTAGTTTCAATACCTTTGTTAACATAAGTTGTGCTAGTATCTGATAACAACGTTTACTATGTGCGTGTTGACTCTATATTTGTATTGGTTTATTGATGTATGGTGTAATTTTGATTTCGTTTGGTGTATACTGTGTAATATTACATATATTTATAACTGTGCTTACAGTAGGTGCTTAAATATAACCAAACATATGTATGTAGGTTTTATGACACATATATGTTTATACATCAATATCTTTGTATCAACAGCACCCATTACGAGTTCTCGTAAACTGCAATGTCAAGATGGTGTTCATACATGAAAATTGATGTTAGGGCTAGTTTAACATTGCCTGAGGGATATCTAACACAAACGATGAGGATATCTAGAGCATGGTTTTTGGAACGTGGTTGTATTTTAACATTTATATTAGTTTCGGATGATAAACGCCATGTACATGACGTTTAAAACACGAAATCCACCGCGTGTGTAAAAACACGTTACATTATTAATTAATATGCAAACAAACATTTTTTTATACAATGGTATTTAATTTGCATGTATGTTTATATAAAAGTATGTCAACTGTTTCATTAACCAGCCTCCCGTCAGAGGAAAATATTAAGTTATTCCCAAAAGATAAATGTCTTCACTAAAGTGTTGACGTTTCTAGAAGTATACTATAGTACTGTCATCGTATTCTCACAAAGTACGTCTGCCATTAAATCAGACCTATGTTAAACATTAAACCCTATCCCCCTATTGCGTTCTCAACGGGGTTTAGTTATATTTAAAACCGGTCTATTTAGACCCTTTAACAACAAAACTCGTTTTTGCAATTCTCCATTTATTGGTCTATAAAGACAACGTTCGCGGTATATACAAGTAAAGAAAGCCCACACGTCTTTTTTAAACGTATCTATAAAAAAAAAAAAAAAAAAATAGACAATAAAGATATTTACTTTTGCATGCTGTTGATAAAAGCAATGTAGAAGGTGTAACTCCACTTATGACCTTGGGTAAAGTAATTAACGTCGGCAATTTAAGCTCATTGAATCACATAAAAACTGCTTATGACTAATTTGGAATCATATCTACCACACCTTGAATATTACTAGGTGCTGTCAAGGATGTTCAACTGTATCAATGAACGATACCGGGATAGAAAACAATGAAACAAAATTGTAATTTCATAACACGTCCGGAGTTGGGTAACGGCAGATGCATCAGTTAACGACTTGACTTGGGAAGTATAAAGGAACAGAAAACGGTTTTACATAGAATGTAACAAATTGATATTTGTTCCTTCAATGTTCGCCCTCGTGGAGAACAGCCATTTTGTCAATAATTACAGTATTAATAACCTATAGTTATCATGTAATGGGATACAGCAGACAACTTAATTCCCGATAAACCTAAAGGTTTGAGAATGCAAGAAAAGCACGTGTAGACAAGAGGAAATAGTAATGCAACTGATATTCTAAATATTCTTTGTGGCACTTTTCTACATGCTGGCAGGGCCTTTTTTTAATGAACACTTACATGCATTCGCCATGACAATAAATATGCTGAAGGTAATTACATCTTCCCACGGTTAAAGGAATGTGGTCAAAGTTGTGTCACTACAGAACTACGACAGGGTCACCTAGCACAATTGTCAATATTATAATGTCGTGTACTCTGGCCTTACTAAGACATTATACCTACAAATACACACCCCTAGTTGTGTGTGGTAGGACTACACACTGTAGACTAGTAAAATTACCCGAGTCTAGACTAAATCTATATATAGCATTACAAAAGATCTGAAAGCAAATCGTATGTGAATCCCGGCTAGAAGTGGTGTGTAAATTATATCTCGCGCATTGTAAGGAACATGATTTGCGGCTAAAGTGAATTATGTGGGCTCGTAACTCAATATATTTCATGCAATGGTGATTAGTGATTGCATAGGATGTTCGGCTAGTATGCAATAAAATAGCATTAGACATAAGAAAATATGCTGGTTTCACAGGTACGATTTACATAACGACAAGGAACAGTCATTAAGCTACTTTTCTTCAATTTAACATGGATTTCGTCCTCGTCAGGAAAGGATTGATTGACTAAATATAGTTATGTTTAGTTGATGATTAAATAAAGTCTTAATGCCGGCTAAGCTTCATGTTTTCTATTGTAGTAATTTAAGGTCAATGTCCAAGAGAACATGGGTTTCACTAATATGTCTTTCCGGTCACGGGTGCAGTGTGCTATTTTAAGAGTTCATGTCCGGATAAATGTATGTTTACTTTTTACAAGTGAGCAGGAAATTAAAAACAAGTTGTGATTTATTAAAAGTATTGTGACACGCGGTATCCTCCTGTCAATAGCCGGGTAGCGCTGTATATCAACACTGTGTGGTGACTGTATCATACAAGTTGTAAGAAGACAGGCAAGAGTCGTATAGACACTGATCCACAATCACATTATACTGAAATCAACACAAGGTAGGGTACCTCTTTATACTTATCATTACCTATTGTTGACATCGTTACCTATTTACTTGTTTTTACAGATTGTGTTTCTGTTGATATTTATTTTGGTGTCGTTGTATTCTATTGATAAATAGACACGATGTGATCACGACCTTATAACAGTTGCTTTATATATTATATAGCAGAACATATCAACTCCATATTCTTATTTCAATTTACATTTATTTTCATGACGTCTCTCTACGAGTTCTAATGTAACATTTGTACCAATGTATATCTCATTGAAAAGGGTACATTTATAAATATGGAACAAGATGAGAACTATACTCTATCCTAAGTAAACTTATATATTGTTTGCGTTACTACAGTAGGTTCTAGTAAAACACATACAGTATTGTACTGTTTACTGTGGTCGTATCCAACATTCTGAACTTTGATCATACGTTTTAATTATTCATAACTTTGAAACCGAATATATGCAGTAGGTGAATATCAGCTATCTCTACGATGATAAATGAACTACTTGGCGACACTCCAGTCGACCTGATGAGAGAAATACCATACCAGTTTGTCGGGTACACCATTCGAGACACAAAGCTCATCCCATAAATCAGAGCGATCATTCTGTACAGCGTTTAATGCGCGACTATAAAGTACATTGTATCTATGTTGATAGAGTAAATTTACACTTTGTAACTAACTTAACTGATCCCGATGACTTAAAAATACCGCCACCTTACAATATGACTTCTTAAACAAAATGCAGCAAACCTAGCACCAGTGATACCTACATACTAATTACAGCTTTTTGTACATATTGCAGGCTATTTTTGTTGGCTGTTGTTTGACGGCGACTCCAATAAAAAGGAGCCATATTTGAAAGGTGTTAACCGGCAAGCCGATATTCTTCTCCTTGATCCTATAGACCACTTGATTAACGACACCTTTAACTATTGTTAACCCCACCCCATTCACCTGTATTTTACGGCGGTTTACAGCAGTGTCAATGTATAAATGTCAATACAAGCACGTCCAAATGCTCTGTTCCCACCGTCTTCCTGACAATAAACAATACTCATGTCTAAATGTCAATAATCTTTATTACTAAAGAGAATTTGGACCAAACGTTAGATATTCCTAATGCATTAAATTGCTCTTTTTAATCGTAGTTTGTCAGTGTATTTATGATTTATAGAGTATATACACTTCAAGAGGGAAGGGGAATTTTTACAATTATCAATTTAACGTCCTATTAACAGCTAATGTCATTTAAGGATGTGCCTCCATGTGTGTTGTGTATGCGTGCCTGCGTGTGTGTATGCAGAAGACATGGTATTTTGGTGCTATCTCACTGAAATACCATGCCGAAGAGGGTGCCAGCACAACATTCCGCCCGGTCACATTATACTGACAACGGGTGAACCAGTTGTTGCCATTCCCCTTAATGCTGAACGTTAAGCAGGGAATAACACCTATCATTCAAAGAAAGATAAAAATCCCAAATATTGCAAAGGTTGCAGCAGATTTATTTTGGTCGGTTTTGTGTCCCCAAATAGAGGACACCAAAATAAATCCCCAATTCTGCAGGGGGGTTCCTTATTAGTCGCCTCCTACGATTCATGCAGTGGACAACAGCAGGTGTATTCTTTTCCCGATCCCCTACCTGCAGGGGTAAAAATGTAAGGGGAAGAGATATGAGAAAGAATTATAATATAATTATCATTAGTTCACTAGCTAATCAACAGGTTACATGCTTTACTTAATTGCCCATCCACACACAAAAAGTCAAAGAGGGCAACACGGTAGCCCAAAGACACAGCCAAGTCACACAAGAGGCACGGTAGTCTAGTGGTATGACGTGACGCCGGGCTCGTTACCGATGAGTTGCGGGTTCGAGTCACGACACGTCACTGTGTTTTATCTTTGAACAAGATAGTTTACGCCTCTTGTTCCAGTCTACTCAGCTGTAAATGAGTACGTGGTTCGGCAGTGCTGGAATTATTGACTGGTTGCAAAGACCCTATAACCACGGAGAAAAAGACTTAATGACGTCATGTTGTAGGAAAGTTTTCCCTTGATTAGCTTTCTGCATTGAATTAATAAATGTTTTTTTGTGATTTTTTTGGGGATAAAATTGATATATACTTTATATAACTCACGTCCTTGGCCACATTTTCAAATTGAATAATTATTTTTCAATTGATTTCTTTTAAATTAGCTATTTAAGCAAGACCATTGTACTGAATTAGTGGATTAATATTATCCAAAAGTCAACATGCCACTAAGTTGTAATACTTTGTCCCATATTTAAGAAGTTTCAGTCCAAAACACAGTTCCACTGCCAGTACAAATCAAAGGTTTACCACACACTTAACATATAACGGCCATCAATATACTAGGAGTGAAGGAGTGAGTAACACAGTGAAACGTCTCAATCTGAATTGAATTTAATATAGATATCTAACGTGTGATCTATAACACTGTTTTAGGTCAGTGTAGGGTGGTCGGGTGGTGCAGTGGATGGCACACCTGCCTTTCAATAAGGCGGCCGGGGTTCGATTCCCCGATCCGACGTGAAAAGGTATAGATTCACCTGCCCGATCACATGGGTTTTCTCCGGGTACTCCGGTTTCCTCCTACCATAAGACCCCCGCGCGCTAACATCCGGGCCAACAAGAGCGATTAATATAAGTTGAAAGAACTATAAATATAGATTATATTTAGTCACTGTCAGCTGTTTTTGCTCTTGGTAATGAAGCTTAAGTTGTTATGATTTATGTCCTTTCACAACCTGAAGGGTATTTCATATGTAACGGAGATTTTTTTCTTTGTACAGAAAAGTAATCAATTTGAACACAAAACAAAACAAAATATATTGTATGTTTTGGGTTAGACATTTCTATACACTGCAGTTAAAGGGTACAGTATTAAGGACGCTCTACCCGTTCGCATTTAACCAGCAGAATTCGTTGAAACTTTCACACAATGGTTATGCCACTTTGTAGGTGTTATTCTATGAAAATCTAAGCATTTCGATGGACTGGGGATTTTTTGGGAAAAAAATACCAAAAAAATGATTTTTTGTCAATTTAAATATTTTCTTATATTTTGGTGTTTCATTGTTATTGTTCCAATAACAACAATACAAAAATGAAAAGAAGTATTGTTAATCAACCCTACAAATATTTTATTATGATTATCCATAAGCTAAAGGCAAACAGGACACACAGTGTCAAACAAAAAGAGTGAAAAATTGAACAAAATATACACAATGGCTTTAAAATTCATTGATTTTACATTTTACAATAAATTTGATTGTGATGAGAGTTGTCTTCCTTGAAAAAAAACACTTTTCTCAGAGAGATACAATTAACCCAATGACAGTTATCTCTTTTACATATATCGAAAATGATGGAAGTTAATTGAAATTATGATTTCGGAATTGTTAATTTATTGTTCTTTTTTGGAACAAAATTACTCTCAATCATGCACACTTTGGACATAATTCCACAGCTCGCTAGCGCATGGTATATTAACATGTCACGTACATATATGCCTTTTCACGTTCACTCACACATGCATTTTCATAGGGATCTTGATATATTACAAAACACTATTTACACGGAGTACAGCATTTGTAAAAAAAAAAGGATTTACTCGACAGAGCGTGTCTCGCTTTATAGAACAAATCTTAACGACCTCGAGCTTGTGAACTGATGTAAGCGCGTGATATGTACATTTGAGGTCGGTACACAAAACACATCAGTCCGCATTCAATGCGCTTCACAAAAGTAATACCTTCTTAAAGTCGCTTGGTCCCATGTCAGTGTCTTCGTGTGAGTCAATTTATGTCTTTGTATCGGAAGTTTTATTTCTGAAGTTCATTTCATTACACATTTCACAGGTAAGTCTCGATATCGGGTGTTAAGGTAATAGGATTGTGTCACCATTTCTCAGTAGAATTTCTTCAATTTAATAAATGCTGAAATTGTGTAAAATTAATTCTCTATACACGATATAAAAATTGACATTTTATAATAAAACCATATACACATAGTAATTGCAGGTAAGAGTTATCGGTCTTGAAAAACTTCACAGTATAGAAATAGGTAGCTGGGTTCCTGAAGTACAGAAAAATGGACACATGTGACTCATTGATAAAAAAAAAAAACCTGAATTAATGCCTGGATTCCTTTGAAATACTTTAATATTGAGAGAACACACTGTTCTGTCGATTATAAACATACAATATTCATCAGTTTAATAGTAAACATTAGAATTCGCGGAAATTGTGATACTGTCTCCAGGCTACATTGGATTTTCAACTAGGGATGTACTTCCTGTTTCCGTTTATCAATACACTCCAATGACTCTAACATATCATGGTCAAGCACGTGTATTATTGTTTACCCGGTGTTACCATAATTTACACTACCGCATTGAAATGCCCGATACGCAATACGGTAATGACGACAGGAAAATACGACCAGCCAAAACATGTGTATTACGAAGGGTGGGAAGCCCTTCAGGTGCATGTTGTATTCGATTGGTTGAGTGTGAGAGGCTACATACGTCCATTGTTCTCCTGTAGAATCGGGATGCTCTTAACGTTCGTCTGGATATAAAATATTTCATAGAACAAATACAAAGAGATTCATATGCCATACAAATTGTAGTACCCCTAGAATCTGGATCTCCATTTTGTCAGATGTAAGCTTCAAACGACCCTGTTCGCACACGTCTATCCGTCGTTACTGTGTGACCTTGCATGACCTTACTGTATAACAAGAGCGATATATATTGTAGTAATGGCGGCATGCGTTTCAATATGTTGTTTGTTGCTACAGTGTGTACCATCTGGTTGATGTCTGAAGTTTGATTATATGTTGGTCAACATCTGTCATCTGCCCTAAATTTATATCTCATCCCAGACACGTATCGTATAATCATTCAAAGATGGCATGTACTTGAAAGACAAGAAACTTGCGCTTCGATATTTTAAAGTATACTTC